TCGGGCAACGACCAACGATGCTGAAAAGAAAAGCGAGTGTGGCTCCAATCTCTTTTGCATACATGCTTTATTGAGCATCAGAATAGAAGTTGATGGTTTCTCTGGTTGACGATTTCTCGGTTGACGCATTAATTGTGCATCATCGCTGAAGTGACAAGAATTCTTGGCACTTCTGAAAGTGTATATGAATAGTCGGCAACTTGGGCGCTTCAGGTATGGTTTAGGGTTGATTGGTTGTCATGTGGGTTTAACGATTCAGGGTTTGGGGTATTGTGTAGGGTTGAGGGTTTGATGTTTAAGGTTGAATAAATCCGAATGACAGGCTCGAGGGATTGGGATTTGAGCTTTGATTCATCCGAGATGCCGCTATCCTATATCCCTGAATCAATGGTCATGTGTTCGCGCCACCATAGACCCCAAACTGCCCACCGCAAACCCAAAACCCTAAACCCTGTCCCCGTGGTGCTCTGTAAGGGGTGATGCGGCCTTTGAAACGGGGCAAGAGCAGCGATTCTTGGGACTTCGTAATGAACTAGAGTGTGGCTCTGGGATTACATGATAGTATAATTTGGTTGGTTGAACCCTGAAGCGTAGTATTGGTAAGTATTCCTACGTCCATTATTACAAGGATTACGATTAGAGGGAGTTCGTGGTGGCATTAGGTTTTGGGGTTAGAGTGCTGGGTTTGGGGCTCAGTTTCGGGAACATGCTTGTGCCCAGAACTTCCAAAATCCTTCAATTAAGGAATATGCCTTAAATCATATTAGGGATCCTACTATAATTTAAGGTATATTCCTGTATATTCCTTAATTAAGGGATTTTCGAAGTTCTGGGTGGTTTAGGATGGATTCAGCGACTGTAGGCTCATTCGCCGCTTAAGACCGAACTAAACCCTTCAACTCTGGCGATCAAAAGAAAGGCTCCTATTATTGAGGGTACTATATTAGGGTCCCCTATTTTCGGGAACTCCCATTTTGGGAGAGTCTAAGGAAGGATCTGTTCCTCCGAAGTCCCAGACCACTCCCCAACACCCCGCCCCTCTCGTGAACTCACTAAGCGCAACTTACCGAAAGAAGAACTCGCCGTAAGGTTCAGGGTTTCGGGACCAAGACAAAAAGCTAATCTACACTCCTAAATCCCAAAAAACCCTAAGCCCCAAGCCCTAAACCCTCAACCCCTAAACCCAAAACTCTAAACCCTAAACCCCCAAAACCCTAAACCCCTAAAACCCTAAACCCCTAAACCCTAAACCCCTCAACCCTAAACCCCAAAACCCTAAACCTCTAAAACCCTAAACCCCTAAACCCTAAACCCCTAAACCCTAAACCCCAAAACCCTAAACCCCTAAACCCTAAACCCCAAAACCCTAAACCCCCCAAAAAAAAAGCCCTAAACCCCTAAAACCCTCAACTACCCCAAAGGCCCTACCGAAGCCCCAACGGCCAGGCCCTCCTCGGCGCCCTCGCCAGGGGCATCGGCGACGCGAACGACCCACAAGTCCCGTGCCGGATCAGCGGCCTTGGGGGGTTCCTAAAGGGCTCCTTAAAGGGATCTATAGGGTTCCTTAAAGGGATCTATGGGGTTTAGGGTTTAGGGTCTACTTAGAGGATCATGGGACTTAGTAAGTAGGTTAGAATTGGGGTTATAAGTCCCCTAACTAAAATTATCCTAATTATAACCTACTTATAACCTTACTTACTTAGTCCCATGATCCTCTAAGTAGTCCTCCTGGCACATTGGGATATACGGTTTTAGGGTTTAGGATTTACGGTTTGGGGCTTAGGATCTAGGATTTAAGGTTTAGGGCTAAGGATTTACGGTTTAGGGTTTGAAGCTCTGGGTGTTGGGTTTTGGGGTTGGGAGTTGGAGGTGGGGTGTTCCTTTCAGGGTTTAGGGTTTAGGGTCCCTAAACCCTAAACCCTAAACCCTGAACCCTTAACCCTTAGGGCTTCTCGGGTTTTGGTTGACAGCTTCTATGCTGATGAGACTTCGGGCCTGGGATTCGGATGTGGGGTTCATGATTCATGTGGGAGTTTCCGAAAATAGGGGACCCTAATATAGTACCCTAATTAGTAGGATCCTTATTATAAGGACCCCAATAAAAGGTACCTCTAATTTTCGGAAACTCCCATGTAGCTACTTGGAGGATCATGGGACTTATAGTAACTGGGGTTAGAATTTGGGTAACTGTACCTATAATCCCACTTAAGGTATTTATAACCTTACTTACTAAGTCCCATGATCCTCCAAGTACCGTTTCGGGGCCCAACCCACGCAGGTCTCTCGGGTGAGGAGGGCTTGCGTAGGTAGGATTGCCTCTGATGAACTTATCGTGGCAGGGCCTAGCGAATGTCCAGACCGGTTTGTGGATCGCTTAAGGGTTTAGGGCTTGGGGTCTAGGGTTTTAGGGTCTGGGTGGTGCATGGACTGGAGATTCGCTGCGGCAGCAGCTGTCAAGAACAAGCTGCTTGTGGCTTTGTATGTGGCACGAGAAGGACTGGCGGAGTGCCTTACTCCTTACAAATATCCTACCACTTAAGAGTCCATCTTGGGATACCCTCAACCCTGAACCCTAAACCCTAAAAACGCAGCCTTAGGGTCTCTTCTCTTGCGAAGCACAAGTTTGTGCCTTGGATTCTTTGGCAGTGGCCTGTGCCTTGGTTGGTAGGGCCCCAAAGCCTACCAGATCAGCACGCGGGTCTCCATAACCCCAATAGAGATCCTTAGGGGGTAGGGGGGAGGGGGGTAGGGACCCTTAATACCTATAGTGAGGACTTCATAAAGCCTATTTAAGGAAGTATAGTCCCCTACCCCCTCCCCCTTCACCCATAAGGGTTGCTATGACATAACTCAATCAGGAAAGCAAAGGTTTGTGGCCTGCAGCGAAGTGAGGCTTTGGCAACTGGCCTTACGGTGCGTGAGTACGAAAAAGGTCCTTATTGGAGATGATCTGAATTCTCCAAAATCTCCAGGCCGTCAGTGCTGAAAACGAACCTCCACCTCTGAAAAACCACGGACCCTAAACCCTAAACCCTAAAGTGGAGCCTCCGAAGCACAAACCAAACACCAACCCCTAAGGCTCCATGTACCCTTATAGTAGATACTTAGGCCTTAAAGTACCTATATAGGGACTACTTTGGGGCTTAAGTATCTACTATAAGGGTACATGGAGCCTTTGGGAACGGCAAATCCATTCAAATCCACCGGATTGAGGTTACAAACTTGGGTTCATGGTAAAGGGACCAGTAAAAAGCCAGATCATTTACTAGAAATCCTAGAATGGCAACTTAAACCCTAAACCCTTAAAGAAACCCTTAAAGATCCCGTAAAGGAGCCCTTACAGATCCCCATTATGGTAACTTAAACTAATTTCTTTAACAAGAACCCGGTAAACCCTAAACCGTAAACTCCGAACCCTAACCCTGAACCGCAAACCCCTAAACCCTCATTCCCTTAACACTAGGTTGGCCCTTTAAAGCCTCCGAAAAATGTTCGCAAATAGGGTCCTATTAGGCCCAATAAGGGACAATAAAAAATGCCCCAAATGCCCACCTAGAACAAGAACCCTAAATCCTAAACCCTAAACCCCTAAACCCTAAACCCCTTAACAAGAACCCAGGCTCTTCTTGCTCCTCATTTCCTGTCGCCTCCCAGGCCGCCCTGGCTTCCGAATCTAGCCTCGGACAGCTGACGATTTGTTTTAGGGCTTTAGGGGTTAAGGGTTAGGGTTAAGGGGTTCGGGGTTTAGGGTTCAGGGGTTTAGGGGTTTAAGGGATACGATTGAGGGGTTGATGGTTTAGCGCATCTTTTGGGGTTTAGGGCAGGGTTTAGGGGATTAGGGCTTGGGGTTCAGGGGTTTCGGGTTTAGGTCAGGTTTGCAGGTTTACTACCCTTTTAAGGACTAACGGTTTAGGATCTGGGGTCGGTAGGGCTCGGGCTTTACGGTTTCGCCTTGGGAGGCCTAGCAAGAATCTCACATTTCAGGATTTCCCGAAAACCCTAGACCCTAAACCGCAAACAGCAGGGTCTTCGGGTTCCCATAAACCCCGAAACCTGAATCCCAGTACCTTCAGGCATGCAGCTTCTGCCGGCCGAAGATGCTGCAGGCCCTGGCCCTGCGCATTTGCTCCAAGAATGCAGGGGCCAAGTGATTCGAACAAAGAAAGGACTCTCTCGGCTTGGGTTTTGGGGTTTGGGGTTTAAGGCGTTAGGGCTTGGGGTATACTCGTTTAGGGTTTCAGGCTTCAGGAAGATTTTCTAAACAAGCATACAGTGCAAATCTTCAAGACAAGACAACAAGAAGCGAAGCCCTCACCGCCGTAGCCGCCAAGCGTAATGGTCATCACACATAAGCCAACATAGCACTCATGGACTCATGGCGATCAATGGTACGATTGAAAGCTATGACAAGCCATAAACGCTCAACCCCAAATCCTTCGCTGAAGTATTCTCGTCCGTGCCTCTGTAGAACAACCAAGACCTTTCAACTGTTCTCCTAACCCTGACACCTGGAGCTGCACACAACCCAAAACCCGAGCTTAGCACCATCCTTAATCCTGAACCCTCAATACTTAGCCCTAACTCCACCCTAAAAGCCTGAACCCGAAACTCAACCAAAACCCCTGAACACTAAACTCCACCCCAACCTCTCACCCAAGGGTCCTGGAAACCAGCATCGGAATGCAAAAGGCCCCGTAATGGCCGGAGGCATTTCCGTCGCCCCATTCAGAGCGCACGCGATTCGCTTCGGCATCCTCTGATTGGCCTCGAAAAGGGCTGGGATCGAGAGGTTTGAAAGTTCAGGGTCTAGGGTCAAGGCTCTAAGGATTAATGATAATGATGCAGGATCGGGGTTTACAATAACAGTCACAACAACTTTCGCACGAATACGTGTAGCAGTAGTTTCGACATCGACACGGAGCATAACTATAGATAGCGTGTCTCAAAAAAACACACTCCCTTCTGGTGTAAGCTCCGTCTAGGTGATGGCTCCGTCGATTTCACTCGAAACCAGTAAAAGGTATTAAAAACCGACAGTGACTGGGGGCGTCACGGAAAAGACCGGCGTTGCTGTAGTTGTTCAGGAGAATGCGCAGGCGCAGTTGCCAGACCTTGGAGAGAAGCGCGCAGTGTTGAAAGCCCCCCGCACACATCGCATGCGAGCACACGGCTCGGCAAGCTGGGACTCACATTCATGTGTCAATGCCGCAGATCGAAGCCACCACCATCATCATCATAATCATCCTCGTCATCAGCAGCCGCACCACCACCAACAGCAGCACCTTCTTCTTCATCATCATCACCATCATCATGAACCCTCTTCCAACACCTTCGTCGTGGCATTCGTCGCAGTCTTCTTGTGTCATTTTTCTTGTTGTTTTGCGTCTTCCTCTTAGAGTGCGCTTCCTTTGATGTTGATCCAACTTCTGCGTCCCTCCTTGACATTACTGCTACCAAGTAACGGAAGGCTCATACTGAGAAGCATACACTCCTTCGCCGAACTGCGCGCGCTTCTCCACCAGTGATGCAAAAAGCTCTGCAGCCGATTGCGCCGAGTTGGCGATGTTCTCAAAAGCCAGGGCATTTGTGTAGTGGTACAGCACCTCAGTTCGGGTTGCAGGGCGCCCAAATTCAACTGGAATCGGACATCTACCACATCATGCGCTTCCTAATCCAAACTGCAAACCCTAAACCCTAAACCCAGGAGCCCTAAACCCCGAAGGAAAATCAGAATCCAAAGCCTGCATGCAGGTGCACGTCCGGGCATAAAAACAAAAAACTCCATAAACCCCATGGAAAAGGAAAAGATCCCAAACTGCCACCGAAACTACCACAAATCCTCCGTCGCATGAGGAATCCCGGAGGTCGATCGGGTGCTGGCAGACCTGAACGGGCCCGTCGCTTGCATCGAACCTTGGCACGAGCTTTTCAGGGCTGCATGAGGCCTTGAGATACATCGATACAGCTCATTACTGCACCATAAGGTTGTTATAGCGGTTGTTCTAGGCTTGATACGGGCTTCATGATGCTTTTCTGAGGGTTGTGGGGCGAAACTGAACATACAATGAATCTTGCGGCAGTTATGACGAGGATACAGATAGGAATGCTGATGACGACGGCCAGTGCGGTTTCCGCTGATGCTTCATGAGGGTGGGTGTGATTTCCATGCCAGGCGGTGATGATGACGATGATAATGATCCTGATGATGGTGATGATGAAAGGTATGATGATGGATCATCAGCACGGTGATGATGTGGATGATGATGACGATGACGAGGCCGGTGATGACCATGACGGATCAATGAGCTTGCTACTGGTCTGTTAGAAGCAGTGTCAAGTGTCCGGACAGGCCTTGGGGTTAAATACGTAAGGCCCTATCGCTACGCCCTTGCTGTTGCCGTTGCTATTGCATACCAATTTTTGCTTAATGGTAGTGTATTATGGCGATTGCCGTTGATGGCACGACTCGTAGTCTTGCGGGAAGTATTCATGCTGCTTGCATTGCCATTGAGGCCACTACTCCTCAACTCTGAACCCTGAAGCCTGAAAGCCTACCACCCCCTAAACCCTAAACCCTAAATCCTAAACCCTTCCAATACTGCTGATGAACAAAATCCTGCATTACCCATTATAAGGAATATACCATAATCCCCGTAATTTAGGGTCCTTAGGGTCATACAAGAATTTTGTCCATCAACAGTATCACCCAATAATCCTACAGGGAACTCCAGGAAGTTGGAATATGGTTTCAAGGTAGGATACCCCATAATTTACCATAAACGGTTTAGGATAATCATATTCCAACTTTCTGGCTTCTACTGTAGTCCTTCTACTTAAAGGATCATGGGACTTAGTAACTAGGGTTCCTTAAAGGGCTCTTTAAAGGGATCTTAGGCTTCCTTAAGGGGATCTATGGGGTTTAAGGTTTAGGGTCTACTTAAAGGATCATGGGACTAAGTAACTGGGGTTATAATTAGGGTAACTATACTTATAACCCCACTTAAGGTACTTATAACCTTACTTGCTAAGTCCCATGATCCTCCAAGTAAGAGTCGGGACATGGGGCGACGTAAGACCGAACGGGCTTTGAACAACTAGTGTGAGGCTCTAAACTTTATAGAGCCCTTGAAAGGAACCCTTGTAGCACCCTTACAGTAACCCTTTAAAGGAACCCTTATAGTGCCCTTTAGTAGCCCTGTAGAGTATGTCACAGGCCCTACTGCGGAGGTAAGGCTCACCGAAGCCCAAACCACAGGCCGGCCTTACCAAGCGATGGACGACAGGAAGGTCCACCCTTACATACTTCCAGAAGGGAAGTGGCTACGACGGATCCCAAAACAGCACAACAGAGCCGGATCAGGAATGCAAGAACTCCAGATAAAGCACCCCTAAGTTCAGCAGAGCCCCTAATGCGTGCGAGTCTCCGGAAAGTGCGAAGCTCGCCGACGCAGTCCGAGGTGTACTGTGCACTCTCCAGGAGCTGGCCGTGCCTACTTGGATGCTTGATTTCACTTAGCGAGTAGTTGAAGGCTCATCGGACTTAGTAAGTAGGTTATAGTTGGGGTTAGAAGTCCCCTACTTATAACCTCAATTATAACCTACTTACTAGGTCCCGTGAGCCTTCAAGTAGGCTTGGTAATGCAGGTAAGTAGGCACAATGAGTGCAAGAGACATTCTGTGCTCTGCATATGTATACATAACTCTAGGTGGGTTTATGTGCATGTGTACGTGCATGCTTCTGGCTACGTAGATGCATGTGTGGATGCAGATGTACATGTTTACGTGAAATATGTGTGTTCTGCACTTGTCGATGCGTACGTGTATGTGTACATATGACTGCGCTTGTGTTTGTGTGTGTGTGTGTGCGTAGATGTATATGGATGTGTATGTCAGTATGTAACCGTGTATATACATATGTATGCGCGTACTTGGGATACGTATGAGATGTACGTGTGCATGTACGCATGCATGCACGTGTACATGCGAATGCGTGTAAGTCTAAGTATGGACTTATGCTAAAATGTTCGCACCCTACACAAGCGTGCATGTCCACCTCGTACTAGTCAGGTTTCGCCCTCCTACTATTCAGGTTACTCGTTTGGAGACAAAAACCGAGACCCCAGCAAAGACGGTAAAGGATACTAACTACTTGGCAACCTAGAAGCCGTCAACCCCGAACCGAACCATCGGAGTCAGGCAGTCAGGACAAGGGCACAGAACCCAAGTGGGTGGTTGTCAAAATTCGGGTCCCTTCTTGGGTACCTATTATAATACGGCACAAAGTCTTTATGGTACACCTTTTTGATTAAGTTTGACAACAACCCAAGTATGTAACATGCACTTCGAGCCGAAAACCTGTGCGGCCTTAGACATCTGGAGATTAGGGGTGAGGGTTTAGGGGTTTATGGTTTGGAATGCTGCCAACTCGCGTTCCTGAAAATGGCCGCCAAACATCCGTGTCCAATCCTAGCCAGTTCGAGGGCAAGGGGCAGATATCCATGCGCGAAGTACGCGGACAGCTTGGCCGAGGCTTGCGGCGCGACCTGCCGCTCGACTTCGTGTAACTCCGGCGCTTTAGGGTTTAGGGTTTAGTGTTTCTCCATGTAATCAGAAGGGTTCCTGCAGGGGTTTAGCGTCTAGGGTTCCTTTCAAGGTTCCTTTAAGGGTTTAAGGTTTCGGGCTTTCATGGAACTTGAACGGACGTTTGCAGGGCTTCGTGGCATTGCTACTGTCATCACACTCACCGGCACCATCATCAAAGTGATGCTCTTCCACTTCATCACGGTCAACATAATCGAGTGAAACATCTGGGTACTATTCTATCCACCATCGGCGTCGTCAACAGAATCTCCGTCACCAACATGACCTGCGTTCATCTCATCACCTTCATCGTCATGGCAATCATCGTCATCGTCAGCATGTTCATGGTTATCGTTCCAATAGTCGTCGCCATCGACATCAACGTCAACATCGTCTGCATCCTAATCATCAGCAGCAGCATCGTCATCATCTTCACCATCATCGTCAACAGCAGAAGCAACATAAAGAGGACATTGCGACCACCATTATCACTACCACCAACACCATCTCCGTTACTACCAACAGGAGCCCTTCCTTCATCACACTTTGTACTCATGTCCATCATCACGTGGATCATCTTCAAAAGCATCAATGCCATCCACCAACAGAAGCAGTGACTGAATCACCACTGTCAGCATCATAGCCACTGTTTCCTGTCGTCATCTCCAGTATCGCAAACATCATCAGCATCAGGAAGATGATCGTCTTTGCATAAATACTGCAAATTAGCATCATCAACACCGCTGAGCCTTAATTGCAATACCGGGATGCTAAGGTATGGCAATGAAATAATGGTTTCAAGCTTACATCGAAGTAATTCTCGAATAGACTATTCCTAGGTAGTTATACGTGGGGTTATACGTCCCCTACCATAGGTTATAGTTACCCTACTTATAACTCCGCGTATAGCTACGATTAGAATAAATGAATAGGGGACCCTAATATGGTACCTTAAACAATAGTATCCATATTAGGAAACCCTAAACCCTAAACCCTAAACCGCCCCATATTATAAGGACCCCAAGATGAGGTACTCCCACATGAATAGAAGCCCCTCGATGCGCCGAGTTCATCCCAGAAAACTATACTGAACTTAGTCCCCCAGCAACAACTGTCAGTTTAGCTGCTTCTTAGGAATCATGGGAACCAAAAGTCAAAAGGCTCAGAAGATTCCGTCACACTTTTCGGCGTAATCCTCCCAACAAACTGAAGCTGAACTGCTTCTGAGGCTGGAACCTGGGGTTCAGGGTTTAGAGCTTAGCATCAAACCCTAAACCATAAACCCATAAAATCGATGTAGCCCGCGGGGTTACGGTTTGCCGGACCAGAGCTCACTCTGTGCCTGCGATTCGAAGCACATTCCCGAATCCGTTTCGGAGCTCTTAATAAAAACACCTAAACCCTAGACCCTCAACCCTGAAACCCCAAACCCTAAACCCTCAACCCTTAAACCCCAACCCCAAACCCCAAACCCTAAACCCTCAACCCTCAACCCCAAACCCTCCAAACCGTTCAAATTTCCAGGCCGAAGCTCGAAACCCAAGATCCACATGTGGCCCAATAGCTTTGAAAGCTGATTTGGCTCTCTCTGGAATCAAGTAGGAGATTTCATAATTTGCTACCAAGTCTGGAGGTTTATTGCAGCAGTATTGGAAGCAAAATGCTTAGGGCCCAGGTAGGGTTTTAGGGATGATCCTGGACCCATACTCCCACCTCCTCTGCGCGGACTTTGTGCGCAGGAGCCCGAAATCGTCGCCCGGAGAGCAGCGTCGGGCGGCTGCTGGAAGCCAAGGTCTGGGAGTTCGCAACCTTCGGGGGATCGGGTTTCCCAGAGACTCCAATATCCTTTAATCAAGGAATATGCCTCAAATTATCGTAAAGCATATTCCTTAATAAGGGGGTATTGGAGTCTCTGGGTCAGGGTTTAAGATTTAGGGTTTAGGCTGTAGGGTTAGGGTTTAAGGACTCTAACAGCCATCGAAGAGGAATCTCCGAGATCGGGTTCCAGGGTGTACTTACAGGATCATGGGACTGAGTAAGGGTTCCTAAAGGGCTCCTTAAAGGGATCTATGGGGTTTAGGGTTTAGGGTATACTTAGAGGATCATGGGATTTAGTAAGTAGGTTATAATTGGGGTTATAAGTCCCCTAAGTGGGGTTATCCTAGTTATAACCTACATATAACCCTACTTACTATGTCCCGTGATCCTCTAAGTAGGGCTTTGAGAGAGCGTTGGGTCGGAAGGTTGCAACGTGGAAGTGTATGCCTGGGGTTGTTGGGCTTTGATGGCTTTGAGTTCCAGGGCTAAGGGTGTGCAAGACTCTTGGATTACAGAAGTGACAGCTTCTTGCGAGTTCAAAAGCCTTGAACAGACCAGAAGAGACGGATAGCTCAAACCTCGTCTGTGCAGCCTGCTACTTTGCATCTAAGCCCTAAACCGTAAACCGTTAAACCATAAAGACCTAAAACCCGAAACCGTTTTGTCCCGCATTGCACACATTGAGAATCGTGTACAGTTCCGGGAATGGGGGGCTTCGCCGGTCCCGTCAGAAGCTAGCATCGTTCTGATGCCATGCACTAGCAAGGCTGCCAATGACAGCGTGCTGGCATCAAGGTGATGCATCCACCGCTGTCCGGTGCTGGTGCCCCTTCACGAAACTGCATCGTCGCGAACCGACAGACTGAATGGAGCCACGCCATCGACAACTGCGTCTGACATCCTGCTCACTGTCGACTCACTGCCACCACAGCCAACTTCATGCAGCGAGATGTGGGCATAAAGTGCATGAATGCCGGAACCCCCAACAGAAGCTCTGAAACAAGCAACTCCTATCAAGGTCAGCACCCTAAATCGAAAGGGTACCCAAACTCGAAATAGTCCCCTCATTCATGAACCCCACACCGAAAACCCTAGAAAGCCCTTTCTGAGGACCCACGTGTGCTTTCGTGTAAGGACCTGGGATCTCAGCTTTAGGGCTTGACAGTTCCGGGGTTCGGTACGTTAAACCGTTAAAGGGAACTCCAGAAAGTTGGAATATGGATTCATGGTAGGATCCCCTATAATTTACCTTAAAGGGATTACGATAATGATATTCCAACTTTCTGGCTTCTACTGTAAGTCCGGAAGCTTTCACGAGGCAACGTCTTCCTTAGGCCACAGCCGGCGTCTTGCCAATCAAGTCCTATGCCAAGCAAGCCCTTGCACATATCGGCGCACTGGAACCCAGCATCTCACGACGGTCTCGGTGGCTTTCTAAAGCTCGTTTCGGGTATCAGTTTGATATTCAGAAATTGAAGCAGAGCCCCTTATCTTGGCCCCGGGTTGATCTTGGTCTAGATCCCAAACCCGAAATCCTAAACCCTAAAGGCTAGAACTCGCGGCACGAATTCGCAGAAACGCCGAAACCGGGATGTGACGATACGAAAAAGCTGCTCAGTCAGGTAAAGCTGCTCAGTCAGGTTACGTAAACCCTACGGTTCGACGGTCTAGGGTTTAAGGTTTAGGGTTTAATCTGTGACTTGTGAGAAGATCTTTCTACAGACCTGATGAGATCGAACTTACCAAGTCTACTGGTCCTGCGAAACACCAAACGCAGGAACCTGCAAGGAGCGCTTGGACTGCCAGGGTTTCTGTTACTCAGGAGGCTCGGGTCCGAACACCACTTTAACAAGCAAACAAACAAACGCCCTAAAGCCTTGAACCTAAACCGACTGGACATAAGCCTCAGAACGCCCCTTCGCAACTAAACCTAGCAAAGCAGGTGAAGGCCCCGCCTCTGCCGGCTCTGGGGCATACGCCTGAGCCGGGCGGGTTGGGGTTTAGTGCTTACACTACGGGGTCCCCTAGGATCACGGGAATGCAGGACTAACTTTAGGGACCATTGCTACTACAGGCTTGTTGGACCACGATGATGACGACTGAAAATCCACTGCCCCTGCTTTGTACCTCGCGGACCCAGATGACAAAACCCTCGAAACGCTCAGCACGTGGCGCAGCAACCCATTGCCCGCACGGCTCTGTGGTCACCGTGGTCAAGCAAACTGGGGTTTTGGGGGTTTGTGCCTTGAGGGTTGGGCAACACATGTTCCGAAATTTGATGTGCCTGCTCTGTCTTCCCTGCACTTTTAAACCTCTAAACCCTCAACCTCGTGTTTAGATCGCTAGGTGCTGCGAGCTCTGATCTCCTGTTGTTGCGCTGGTCCTCAGGAGCCCGGTTGGGTTCCTTCTTTCCTTCCTCCATGATCCGACGGCCGCAAAGTGAAGTTGGATCGCTTTGTCATTCTATTACACCCCATCTCTCAAGGTTCAGTTTGGGACAACATGTCTGCGAGAATTCTGGGCTCTACCAAAAGCATGTACAATCACAGCACGAAGGTGTCAGCGAGTCGCCCTCTTTCTGCACACTCTGCAACGCCTCAACATGTGTCAAGTGTGTTGGAGCCCCGCCCACGCACATGTAGCGACATCAGGACAGATCCAGAACCGATCAGAATTTTGGGTCCATCTTTTTCCCAAGTCGTTTTCTTTAACTTGCAGCACTCTGTGCCGTTCAAACGTGCCGTCGGCAAAAGTGGAATTTCACTGACACAAGCGGGGTTCCGCTGTTTCGCCAGTCCTTCTCTCAATCCGTATTCCTCTCTTCCTTACGTTCGCTCCCCAAGTCTCCCTCTGACACTCTCTCTCTCTCTCTCTCTCTCGCAACAAAACTAACGTTTGTTGGGCTGTTCTACAAAAACCAGGGTCGATGGTGCCACATCAAAATGCTGTATCTGACACCTCTGACCCATCAACGCCGCCAAAATTAAGATTTGGAAGAAATGCGCCAAAACATGCCCAAGCATCGTGGAGTAACCACTAGCGGCGACTGTGCTTGTGTTCGAATGGTTCTGGCAACTATGTTTTGGAACTCCAGATTGGGAACTCTCTTCAGAGTTCGGAAACTTGTGTTTGGCAAGAGTTTTGGATCAGATTTTCCCATTCATAAGTCGAACGTGGAGACATGCTCGTGGCATCCGTTCACCAGCCGCGCAATGTGACATTGTTAGAGCCCAATCAAAGCCTAGGAGCTCATGTCGTTGTGCAAAACTCACGCCAAGCCAATTGTCGGATTATCCAATGGGGAGGGTGACAACTGTCAGAATGCTAAAACCAAGAAATATGCTCCGTCTGCAGCGAAAATGCGTGACAGCTTCATGTTTCCAGCCACGACAGCGTTTCGCGAGCGCCAAGCCTCGAAAAAACCGTGGTCCTGCAAATCCGAAAACTTTTGATTATTAATTCTATACTCCCACCGCGGTATTGAAGGACACCAGGTGTCACCTTGCAGTTCTTGCCTGCCGTGGTCCTGTACGGTCCTGTGGTTGTGGTTTCTGCAAGCAAAACAAGTCGAAATAAGTCTGTTCTCTTCTTGCGCAGCGTTTCGCAGGCTTGAACAGTGGATGCTGCGTATTGCTGCGTTTCATGTCTTCGGCAACATCTCCTCAAATCCACAGATTCCGAGACTCACCGAGCAACTGCCAGGGAAACAATCCGATGAGTCATTTCAGGATTGCCAAATTGGGTCATTTCAACACACTATACCAAAAATTTGAAGATTTCCAAGTGGTGTAGCGTTAAGATCCAGGGTACTAAAACTCATCGGGGCCGGCATTTGGGTGTTGGTTGAGTCGGTTGACTGCTTGAAG